ATTAAGGTTGTTAATCCCTGAAAGTTTAAGCAAAATCTGCCATCCGGTTTAAGAGGAGTTGCATTCACAAAATTTCAACATAGTATATAATGAAAAAATCAAAAAAGGGCCATAATTCTGTTAAATTTGGTTGCAGCAAAAATTCCTTTCTTTATTACCATCTACACATTAAGGTTGTTCATTCCTGGAAGTTTAAGCAAAATCTGCTATCCGGTTTAAGAGGAGTTGCATTCACAAAATATCTACATAGTATATAGTGAAAAAATCAACAAAGGGCCATAAATCTGTAAAATTTGGTCGCAGCGAAAATTCCTTCCTTAACTGCCATCTACACCTGAAGGTTGTTCATCCCTAAAAGTTTAAGCAAAATCTGCCATCCGGTTTAAGAGGAGTTGCGTTCACAAAATTTCTACATAGTATTTAGTGAAAAAATCAACAAAGGGCCATAATTCTGTTAAATTTGGTCGCAGCAAAAAATCCTTCCTTTACTACCATCTACACATAAAGGTTGTTCATCCCTGTAAGTTTAAGCAAATTCTGCTATCCAGTTTAAGAGGAGTTGCGTTCACAAATTTTCTACATAGTATCTGGTGAAAAAATGAACAAAGGGCCATAATTCTGTTAAATTTGGTCGCAGCAAAAATTTCTTTCTTTACTACCATCTACACATTAAGGTTGTTCATTCCTGTAAGTTTAAGCAAAATCTGCCATCCGGTTTAAGAGGAGTTGCGTTCACAAGATTTCGGGACGTACGAACGGACGAACTGACGGACGGACGGACTGACGTATTGACGGACTGACGGACGGACGGACAAGTGCAACGCTATATGCTCCCACATTGTGGGGGCATAAAAAATAGTAATGTAATTTGATGTGAATGTTATTATTTGACATCCATTGAAAAATAAAATCCATTTCATAAAATTATGACTATATAAAACTGTGTTAAAAGTGCTAAATGAAGTTCATCTAACTGAATATAATCAAGTGCCTTGGGAAGAAATGTTACTTCCCTATTTCTTTTTAACGCGACTTTATTCGAAAAGTTATCGATTATGTCCCATCAGATTGAACCGATGATTGATTGGGACAAATTTCATCCGATTTCCATCACTATATGCCACCGCATGGCAGATGCTGTGGTGGCATAACAACTTGTCAACAACTCCAAGCATTAAATTACTTTTTGTTTAAATGTACAGTTTCTAAGTGTAGGTTAGACCTAAATACCATATCTATTCTGTGTATTCTCACTATTGTGTTCGAGATCCTTATCCAAAGACTGACGGAAAGGGCCAAAAAGTTGCGATTGTGGTCACAAGTGTTGTTTTGTCCACATACGAATTTGTGACAACTTCCAAAATTAAAAAATTTGACCTTGACAGTCATTTTAAGCTCAAGGTTAAGGTCAGATCAATCTTTAAATATGTCATGTCCAAAATGTTGTTTTGTCCAAGTATGAAAATAATCCATTAAGTTACAGCCAATTATAGTGATAATCTGTGAAAATAAAATAATTTCACCTTCAAGGTCATATATGAGTCAAGGTCAGTCTGATTTTGATATACATGATGGTCCTGACTTAAAAGATGTTGTGTCTTAATATGAAGTTAATTCAATTATTAATAACAAAGTTAAACCCAGTTACAAAGTTTAAAAAAAAAACATTAAAAAACAAGAATGTGTTTGTTAAACACAAATGCCCCTGGCTCAGATTCTTGTCAGTAGCAATATTTCAAAAAATGTTTACCTATTCACTCAGTTATGGACAGAAAAATTGCCAAAAAATAAATTGTAAACACAAGTTATATAGCTTGACAAAGTCATGGCATTTTGTTATTGTGAAAAATATAAGTTGCCAAGTCATTGCTCTGACTTGTGAAGTTGAAAAATATTCAACTTCATGCAAGTTATCTTCCTACCAAATATGAAATACATCTGTCAATAAATAAAGGCTGTATGGGCAAAAGTGTAAAAATCTATTTTTAGCACTGGTGACCTTGACCCAACTGACCCCTTACTCCATCCAAAGGAAGAATAATATGAAATACATCTGTCAAATAAAAGCTGTATGGGCAAAAGTGTAAAAATCTATTTTTAGCACAAGTGACCTTGACCCACTGATCCCTACCCCAATCAATAGGATGAATATAATGCAAATTATCTTCCTATCAAATATAAAATATATCTGTCACTTAATAAAGGCTGCATGAGCCAATGTGTAAAAATCTATTTTTAGCTCTGGTGACCTTGACCCAACTGACCACTAACTCCATCAAAGTGTATGTTTCTATCAATTATAAATAACATCTGTCTATAGAATAAGGTCAATACACCTGTAAAAATCTATTTTTAACATTGGTGACCTTGACATAAGTAACATTGACCTTGACCCAAATGACCCCTTACTACACCCTAAGAAGGAGGACCTCCCTTGGCATGTTTGTATTAAACTAAGACATCAACTAAAAAATAAAGGTTGTATGAGCAAAAATGTTTATATTTATTTTTTAAACCAGTGACCTTGACCTTGACCCTAGAGACCGCTTACTCCACAAAAAATTAGAGGACCATAAAAGGTATCCACCTTCTAAATATGAAAGATATCATTAAAGAAATTAAGCAATTAGGAGAAATTTAAGATAAATCCAACTTGCCGAAATAGGTTAACCAGACAAGGCCCTATTTTCAAAGTGAAAAAAGGGAAATAACTGGGAAATATGGATGACACAGTTATATAACTTGGCAATATCATGTTCTTTGTATTGGTAAGTAAGTGTGGAAATTATAAAGCCATTAGTATAGAAAGAACTTAAGATATTTCCAACTTGCCGTTTTAGGTTAACCATTATTCATTTTCTAAGTGCTGAAAAGGGCAATAACTTGGTAAATATGAAAGCCAGAGTTATGTAACTTGCCCAGATCATGCACTTTGTATTGATTAGTAAGTGTGTAAACTTAGAAGCCATTGGTACAGGTAGAACTTAAGAAAAATCCAACTTGCCGTTCTAGGGTAACCTCGTACGGATAGACGGATGGACGGACGATTCAATTACTATATGCCCGGGGGCATAAGAATCCTGCTAGTAGTTTGACCTGTGAAAGCCCTAACAATTTTTTCTATCAAAGTTTCCTCAAAATCCTGCCAAAAGTTTGACCTGTGAAAGCCGGACAAGACTTTTCTATTCATAGCTCAGGAAGCCATTTTGTGCAGTGAAACAGAATGTGTCACAAGATATGATCAACTGGATATGGTTCTGATCACTCCTGTGAAGTGATGTCGAAATCCTGCCAGCAGTTTGACCTGTGAAAGCCAGACAAGATTTTTCTATTTATAGCTCTAGTGGCCATTTTGTGCAGCGAGGTGGAATGTGCCGGCAATATGCACAATTAGGGATGGAACTGATCACCTCTGTGAAGTTTCATTGAAATCCCACTAGCAGTTCGACCTGTGAAAGCATTACAAGCATAATGCGGGCAGACTGATGGCGAAGGCAAAAACAATGTCTCCCAAAAATTTTTGTTAACCTGAAGGTCTATCCTAAAAGATTATTATGTTCAAGTTTGTAGAAATCATTAAAAAATAACAAAGTTATAGTCACTAATAGCAACAAGGCAGTCTGAAGGACAGCTAAATCCCTTTCCACAGCGGACATGAATGATCATGATGATAATTCTTGACCAACCATGACCTTGCTGTTGTGCCATGCATATCATAAGCACATTTGCTCATCACAAAAGTCTGTTTCAGTTTTTGACCAATTACCTTCAATATTCACAATGATACCTTTAAAGATCCTCTTATTTTATTTGAATTTTAGGGTAAAGGTCTTGGTAACCTTAGGTAATTTTAGACTTATATTTACAAGTTTTTTACATATGTGGTTGTATCATGCTTTAGGCAAAATTGATGTTCTGTGGGCTTTAGTGATATGTCATGTTTTAACTTATAATACTTTGATTGTGACTCTAATGTTTTATAAGTTATAAGTTTTCATGTTTTACAATTCATTCAGGTGAGAATTACAAGACTGCTGGTTATGTTATAACCTTGACCATGGAGCCACCTGATTGTTGCCCTCTGTAGGTGAGATGGTGATCATTTGTGCCAATATAAATAAAAAATTTCAGTTTAAAAGCTATGAAGAGGACATAAATTGTTGACTTTTAACATTTTTACTCTATGTATGACCTAGACCTTGAGGGTAGCAATCTGAATATTGCGCTTCACACATATTTGTGCAGTCATTTAAAAACTTTTCAATAGTTTAAAAGTTAAGGAGCCGCTTTTTCATTTGACCTTTAAGTGTAACCTTGACCTTGTGGGTAGCAACCTGGATGTATCTTGAGGGTAGCAACATAGATGTTTGGCTCTGAAAATTGTGTCATGGTGGAAATTATTTGTGCAAAATAATTTAAAACCTTTGAATTGTTATTAAGTTATAGGGTAGACATAAAAATTAGATCTTTTAACATTGGTCCTTGGAGTGTGACCCTGACTTTTAGGGTAATGACTTCACTATTGTGCTCTGCACATGGTGTCATAAAAGTGATCATTTCTGCTAATTTATCTTAAAACATTACAGCTTGTTTAAATGTTCTGAAGTGGACACAAAATGTAGACTTTGTGCCAAGTTATTACAAATTTTTTTCAGTGGTTTGATAGTTATGGAGCGAACACAAAAATGATACAAACGGAGAGACGGACACACAGAGGCCGTTCCTACAATTCACTCTTCCTTTGCTGAAGGGTGACCTTTAAGTGTGACCTTGACCTTATGGATAGCAACCCAATTATAGCTTTGCACTTCGTCTCATAATGGTGATCACTTGTGCCAAGTTATTTCAAAAGAAATCTGTGTTTTAAAAGTTATGGAGAGGACACAAAATGTAGACTTTTTAACACTCTATTTTTTTTCTTTGGAACTTTTGATTTTTCATTTAGCATATGAGAGACTTGTTACTCAGAATATATATTTCATGACTTCAGATTTACATACTTTGGTGGTTTTGCATGGATTTCTGTGTAAATTTTTGCTCTTTTTGTGTAGTCATCATATTGTTCCAGCAGTAATTTTCCAGCTTCCTCATTTAATGCCGATTCTGGGTTAGGTACTATCAGTAAACACTTTATAGTCTGAAAAATATATATATTCAAATTAAATTAAAATATCACGTCCCTGGTGCAAATATTGGTTATGTTTTAGAGGACCACTTTGTATTACATTTTAAGTTGCTAAATATCTAAGATTTGTGAGTTACATGTATAGATTCTCACAAAAAGATATTTAAAAATTTCATTCTTTAAATGTATTTTTGCTCTCGAGTACCTACTTATGCATCCAATGAAAACATTTGAATTTTATGCAGCTTTTAAAAGGGCTGCATTTTTATCTAAGTATGTTTAAAATACTTGAAAACACACAAAAGACATCAGTTGCTGATAAACTAAAAGCTCACATCTGAACACTCTGTGCTCAAATAAGCCTGACCTTGCAATTGGGAGACTGATATGAACCTTTACATTTTCAAAGTTCTGTTATATTACCTAAAACAAGAGCCAACGCCGGGGTGGGTGGGGAACAATATTCAAATTTTTACTTTTTCTAAAAGCAGACAAATAAAAGGTTTAAACAAATCTTTAAAAGGAAAATTTAAAATAAAGGTTCTGTCTGCTTTGTCAAAGTATGAATTCTTTCCATAAATAAATGACAAAGTTAAGAAAATATAATCACATAAGCCAGTTTGAACACGGTGATGCCCCCAAAATAGATTTTGAAAAAGTACACCTCTTGTAGTTTCAGAGTTATGTCCGAGAAAGTTTAAAGGGCAATAATTCCAAAATTAGGCAAGGCAGAATTACTGTTCTTTGCACTGTAGTTCTACTCAATGAGATCTATCTACCCACTTAGTTTCTTGTTGATACCTCTTGTAGTTTCACAGTAATATCCCAGACAAAGTTCAGAGTAAAATTAAAAGGGCAATAAACTCCAAAATAGGCAAGGGAGATTTACAGTTCTTTTGCACTGCACTTGTATTCAATGAGATCTATCTACCTAAAAAATTTCTTGCTGATACTTCTTATGGTTTCAGAGCTATGTCATGGAAAAAGTTCAAAGTGAAACAAGGGTTTTCAGGTTAACCGTTATGCTCCTGACAAGATTTTTCTAAAAGGGGAGATAATTCAAAAACAGGGCAAAATAGAGTTATGGATTTTTGGCACTGCACTCAGCCTCAATGCCCTCTACCACTGTGTGCAGTTTAAACAAATTATCTCTAAGGGTTTCCAAGTTATACTCCAGAAAAAAAAGGACAAACAGATGGACAGACAGACAAGGCGGAGGCTATATGCTCTCCCTTCAGGGAGCATAATAATATTACTCCAATTTTATATGTAATTTGTTGTTCTACTTTTTTGCTTTCAGACTTTCATTCATAAAAAACGTGTTTGGCTGTACTTCTGATGGGACAAAGTAGAACAAAGTAGTGCAATTATTACAATATTTTCTTGTATATATGATTTTCATTTGTTTACTTTATCAGTCAGATAACTAACGGTCTTTGCAATTAAATTGGAACATAAATGCTTTCAATATATTCCAACATTATGTGTGTGCTTTATATGATTAAATCGTGTACTATTTGTTAAGATTTATAATATTCAGTTAGAGCCACTTTTCTAATGTAGATGTCGCAAATGCTATTTGTAGATGACATAGCTCTGTACAGGTCTCAGAGGGCGCATCAGTTGCAAAAACAGAATCCCTCAAGAATGCCCAAAATGACAAAATTGACAAGAAGCACTGCAATGCAACAAAAACCAGGTTTTCAATGACCAAGTATTGATGTGACAGGAATTAGGAATGAAATATGGCACTGAAGAGACAAGAGGGCCATGATGGCCCTGAAATCGCACACCTGAATATAAAAACTCTCCATGACAAGGAACAAAAAATATTGTAAACTATCAACAAAAGCAGAATATATAAAATCTAAATTTTAAACTGATATCACAAAGTTCATATTTTTATCTGAAATGGTGCATGTGTAAATACATTACTGATAGCTATTGCTAAGGGAAACCAACAGTTCCAAAAGATTAGTACATATTAGGAAAACAAGATATGTTTGTAAAACATGTATGCCCCCTATCAGCAGCCAATTAGTCATGTGATAAGGTTATTATGACTTCTGACCCAGTGATCAAACAATTAATAAGGGTTATCAAGTATCTACTGGTCATGACCTTAACCTTTGACCCAAAACTCAATAGGGGTCATCTGCTGGTCACGACCAATCATCATACAAAGTTTGAAGTTCCTAGGCCTAAGCGTTTTTAGTTAATTGATCGGAAACCGTTTTAACATACAAGGTCAATGTGACCTTGACCTTTGACCCCTTGACCCCAAAATCAATAGGTCATCTGCTGGTCATGACCAATCACCATACCATGTTTGAAGTTCCTAGGCCAAAGGATTCTTAAGTTATTGATTTGAAAGCATTTTTACCTACAAGGTCAATGTGACCTTGCCCTTTGACCCCTTAACCCCAATATCAATAGGGGTCATCTACTGGTCATGACCAATAATCATACCAAGTTTGAAATTCCTAGGCCTAAGGGTTCTTTAGTTATTGATCGGAAACCATTTTTACCTAAGAGGTCAATGTGACCTTGACCTTTGACCCCTTGACCCCAAAGTCAATAGGGGTCATCTACTGATCATGACCAATCACCATATCAAGTTTGAAGTCCCTAGGCCCAAGGGTTCTTTCGTTATTGATCGGAAACCGTTTTTACCTACAAGGTCAATGTGACCTTGACCTTTGACCCCTTAACCCCAAAATCAATAGGGGTCATCTGCTGGTCATGACCAATCACCATACCAAGTTTGAAGTTTCTAGGCCTTAAGGTTCTTTAGTTATTGATCGGAAACCGTTTTTGCTTACAAGGTCAATGTGACCTTGACCTTTGACCCCTTGACCCCAAAATCAATAGGGGTCATCTACTGGTCATGACCAATCACCATACCAAGTTTGAAGTTCCTAGGCCTAAGGGTTCTTTAGTTATCACTCGGAAACCATTTGGTCTACGGACCGACAAGTGCAAAGCAATATACCCCCTTTTCTTCGAAATGGGGGCATAATAAATGACCCTATGGGGTGGCCAATTTTGACACCAGGGCTTTTATTTGAACAAACTTGGTAGTCACTCACAAGAAAATGTTTCATGCTAAATATCTAAGCTCAAGGTTTCTATTGACGCACATTTCCTGCGTCCTTGAACCTAGGACCCTCAATTACTCTAAGTCTGCGTCCGCGGGGACGCAAATTTAATTTTCCTCCGTAAATGTCATTTGGAAATTCCTTCCGCTTCTTTAAAGGAAATGACGTAATTTGGTAGACGGGTCCTAATATTGAATACAGCAGAGTTATCTTTCTTTCAATTAATTACAGTTTAATACGGAATAAAACGGCGCAAACTAGAATTTAGTCGACCTTAAAAAAGCGTCCCAGTCTATGCGTTGCTATGCAAATAAATCGTAAAACATGTCGGCTGCTCCCCCAAAGAAATCACATAGTTTTAATGAAAAGTGGCTAAGTACTTACCCGTGGCTCGTCCAAAACGAGAAGACCACGGGTATGAAATGCAACCATTGCGTCTCAACCAAAAAATGTAATCCATTTGTCTCGGAAAATGGATGTTTGAACTTCCAGAATAGTACATTGGTCCGTCATCAAGAGTCTAAAGATTTATTTAACAAGGTCAATAAAAATGCATATGTAGTTGAAAAATGTATATAAATGTAAAGAATTTAAACCTTGACAATATATAAGTAATACCTTACTTTAAAGTAATAAATGATTAGGACCCTCATATTTTTCTCTGGGACCCTCATATTTTAGAAGCACAAGTCCCTGGGACTCTTAAATAAAAGTTCCTAGTAGAAACCCTGTAAGCTCTAGCTCTTTGTGTTTTTTAAAAGAACATTTTTTAAAGTTTTTAATATACACATATATAGAAAATCAATGACCCTATCCGGGCCAATTTGGACCCCAGGGCTTTTACTTGAACAATTAGAAGATACTTCAAGCTTAATATCTAAGCTCTAGCTCTTTGGGTTTTTTAAGATGACTTTTTAAGGTTTTACTATATACATATATAGGGAAAGTCAATACCCCCCCCCCAGATGGGACAAATTTTGTCCCTAGGGCTTTTATTTGAACAAACTTGGTAGACACTCACTTGACGATGTTTTATGATTCATGCCAAATATCTAAGTTCCAGCTGTTTGTTTTTTTTTTAACCTTTAGCACTCTACCGACGACTAAAATCGCCCGGAAATATTTATCATGTACCACTACTGTCGATTAGAGTCGCCAATATTGTCTTATACATTACCACTACCGGCGACACTATCGGTAGATGATGTTTTAAATGAAATATTTGCAGACAGTGAGTCAGAGGATGAATTAAGTGGTTTTTCTAGCCAGGAAAGACGAAACAGATTCGGACAGTTTAGACGATCACATTTCGGGCAAGCCAACATCAGGGTATTCACATGAATGGTTACGTGAAAATCGCTTAGTGGCAGCTTTAAACTGAGGTGTACTCAGCAGAAGTGTACTGTAGTGTATGCATCTATTTCCTGGGTAGAGTGCTAAAGGTTAAAGAAGATTTTTTAAAGTTTTTTCTTTCGGTTGCCATGGCAACCAGAGTTCTGCATGGAAACAGATTTCAAATGTGACCACCACAAGAACATTCCTGTGAAGTTTGGATGAAATTGGCTTGGCGGTTTATGAGGAGATGTCATTTTAAGTAAAAGTTAACGGACACTGGACAAAAAGCCATCACAAAAGCTCACCTTGTCACTTAGTGACAGGTGAGCTAAAAATGATGCTGTTATTTGTACCAACACAGAAAGTTGGTTTTAGTAGTTCAAAATAAAAATATGCCAGATACCTGAGTAGCAATTCCAGGCTGTATTTTCATGTAAGCTACACATATGTAAAAATCAGTATCAATATGTAAAAGTGTACTGAAGCTATTGAGTAGAAGCTGAAAATTCTATTGCTCCCAGATATCTAAGGAGCTATCCCAAGCTGCATCTTAATATAAGCTACCCACACAGCAAGTTTGATGTCAATAGGTCAAAGCAAAACTCAAGTTATTATGCGAAAACTGAATTTTTTCTTTAAGCAACAGTAACCTTGACCAAGTTCACAGACACCTGGGTAGCAATCCCAAACTGTGTATTAATATAAGCTATCCACATAGTAAATTTGGTGCCAATAGGTCTAAGCAAACTCAAGTTATTATGCAGACTAAATTTCTATTTTTAGCAACTGTGACATTGACCTTGATCACAGACATCTGGGTAGCAATCCCAAATATCATCTTGATAAGCTACCCACACACCAAATTTGCTGTCAAAAGGTCACAACCAACTCAAGTCAATAAGTAGAAACTGAATCTTTTTTTAGCATTAGGCTCCCGACCTTAATCATAGTCAACTGGGTAGTAGTCCTGAGTAGCGTCATGATATAAGCTACCAACACAGCAAGTTTGGTGTACCCACACAGCACGTTTGGTGTCAATAGGACAAAGCGAACTAAAGTAATTACGTGAAAACTGATTTTTTTTTTAAACGACGGTGACCTTGACCTTGTTAACAGACACAGAGTTGCATCTTGTTATAAGCTACCTATACACCAAGTTTAGTGTTAAAAGACCTAAGCAAACTAAAGTTATTGAGCACACTGAATTTTTTTTTTAGCAACAGTGATAATTGACCTTAATCAAACACACCTGGTAGCAACCCCAAGCTGCCTCTTAATATAAGCTACTCATACACCAAGTTTGGTGTTAATAGGCCTAAGCAATAGGTTTCAGCAAACTGAAGTAATTATGTAGACACTGAATTTCTATTTCTAGCAACAGTGACCTTAACCTTGATTACAGACATCAGAATAGCAATCAAGCTTCCTCTTGATATAAGCTACCTAGATACAAAATTTGGTGACAATAGGCCTAAGGAAGCGGAAAATGAATTTATAATTTTAGCAATGACCTTAAATATCAAACATCTGGGTAGCAATCCCAAGCTGCCTCTTGATATAAGCTATACACCAAGTTTAGCATCAAAAGGCCAAAAGCAAACTTCTTTTTTAGCAACAGCGATATTGACCTTGATCACAGGCACCTGGCTAGCAATCTCGAGAAGGGTCTTGATATAAGCTACCCACATTCTAAGTTTGAAGTCAATAGGTCCTAGCAAACTGAAGTAATTACGTGGAATTTGAATTTCTATTTTTTAGCAACAGTGACCTTGGACTTGATCACAATCACCTGGGTAGCAATTCCAAGCTGCCTCTTGATATAAGCTAACCATACACCAAGTTTGGTGTCAATAGGCAAAAGCAAACTCAAGTTATTGACCTGAAATCAAAAGTTGACGCAGGCCAACTTCGGCATTACAACAACTGGTTTTCATTGAAAACCTGGTTAAAAATATTGCAGACTCGCTTTAATTGAGCATGTTCATGGACGGTAATAGAAAGTGCCAAAGGGAAATTAATCCACTGCGACAAACATGCCACTTATTGGACCAAATTTTTTACAAATTTGACTGATGTGATGTTTGTGTTTTTATATATTATTTATCCATATACTGTATAAGTGGATATTTATGTGTCACAAAAATTTTGTGAATGTCAAAAAGCGTAAATATATGCAAACAAGCAAATTCGTTGAATTTATATCCCCCGCCGAGTACTGGTTATTATTAACACAACAACTGAAGACATAAGGCTTTATTTATATATCAATCATGGCATAAACAGTAATATTCTTTGAACTTGATAAATATTCAGGGCAATAACAGAGCCATAATTTTGTGTTAAATAGTAGAATCTGGAAATGCCAATGAGATGTATGCATACTACATAACTAATCAAGGGCCATAAATCTGAGTTATAAGTATTTGACCGGGAACATGGCGACTATATGCACATCTCCTCTTAGTATCCCATAAAGTTTCATTGAATTCCAGCCAGAAGAAGCAGAGAAGTAGCGAGGAAACACATATTTTTCTATATGGATACTGCATAACTAATCAAGGGCCATAACTCTGAGTTAAAGTGTCTGACCAGAACAAGCCGACGATATGCGCATCTCCTCTTGGTATTGAAGGTTCCCATAAAGTTTTGTTGAATTCCAGCCAGTAGTTGCAGAGAAGTAGCGCGGAAACGATTTTTACTCCATATGCATACTGCATAACTAATCAAGGGCCATAACTCTGAGTTAAAGTGTCTGACCGGAACAAGCCGACGATATGCGCATCTCCTCTTGGTATTGATGATTCCCATAAAGTTTCGTTGAATTCCAGCCAGTAGTTGCAGAGAACTACTCCGGAAACGATTTTTACTCTATATACATACTACATAACTAATCAAGGGCCATAACTCTAAGTTAAAGTGTCTGACCGGAACAAGCCGACGATATGCGCATCTCCTCTTGATATTGATGATTCCCATAAAGTTACGTTGAATTCCAGCCAGTTGTTGCAGAGAACTACTCCGGAAACGATTTTTACTCTATATACATACTACATAACTAATCAAGGGCCATAATTCTGAGTTAAAGGGTCGGACCGGAACAAGCCGACGATATGCGCATCTCCTCTTGATATTGATGATTCCCATAAAGTTCCGTTGAATTCCAGCCAGTAGTTGCAGAGAACTACTCCGGAAACGATTTTTACTCTATATACATACTACATAACTAATCAAGGGCCATAACTCTTGAGTTAAAGGGTCGGACCGGAACAAGCCGACGATATGCGCATCTCCTCTTGATATTGATGATTCCCATAAAGTTACGTTGAATTCCAGCCAGTAGTTGCAGAGAACTACTCCGGAAATATTTTTACTCTATATACATACTACATAACTAATCAAGGGCCATAATTCTGAGTTAAAGGGTCGGACTGGAACAAGCCGACGATATGCACATCTCCTCTTGATATTGATGATTCCCATAAAGTTTCGTTGAATTCCAGCCAGTAGGTGCAGAGAACTGCTCAGGAAAAGAAATTCGGACGGACCTTTCACACATTTTTTTGTCATATTTTATAGAAAAATGATAGAAAATAGGAATAAAATATGTGTGATGAAATATTTGCAAATAATTTCAATTCGCAAAAATCACAAATATTTCCATGTCGCAAAATTTTATACAGTATTCTGACGTTAGATCATACGAAATAACTTTAATATGTCAAAACACTCCTCAGATATATCTGTCCAAAAAATACAGTATAAAGGGGTTGCTTTGGTTGGTTTTCTTCCATTTTAGATGATTGTTTTCATTTTAATGGCGCACTTGATAACTGTTTTGAAAAAATTTGACCTGTTAAGCACTTTTTCAAAGAGTATTGGTATGCACAGAATTAAATTTTGAGGTGTATTTCATAATTTTAATGAGTAAATAGTTACGCATCTTATCTGGAGTGCTGTTTTATGCATGCAATTCACTGTCTACTTAAAATCATAAACATGTAATAAGTAAGTTAATTATTTGAATAATAATTGCATTTAATATACATATACAGAGATAGCAGTTACTTACCAATAATAGATGTTTAATTCCCAAATCAGCCGTCCAGTCCTTTTTTAATGTATTAACACATATTTCACCATTACTAGCCACATTTGGATGGAATATTTTTGTCAAAAAGTACCCTTTTGGAGGTTCTGATGGAAAATTTTTACCCAACACTAATTTCATTCTAAACAATCCACCTGCATATGGTGTACCAGCTAAAATGACAAACAGAAAAGTAGTAATTATTATTGAACTCAAAATTTTAGATGAACATTTTGATGACGTTAAATAATTATAATGATATATGTAAATAACAATAACACAATGACAAGAGTTTACAAATTGTTGTTCTTTCATCTTCCTTGACCTTATCATTTCTTTTTTTAATGATAATCAACATACCATATGAAAAGAAGAGAAATTTTAAATACATGTATTTGAAATAATTTTTTTATTGTGCAATTTAATCAACTTTCATGGCCTCCATTTGTACCTTATGTCAGAAAACAAATAAAAGACCTACAACACCAAATTAAACAAGAGCTATCACTGAAGGTGATTGATACACCCATCAGCAACTTTGACTTTTGAAAAATAAGTTGTCTGTAGAGAAAAAATTGAACTCAACCTATAGTAAATGAAGTATCAACTGTGTACAAAGAATTATTTCAATTAATTGTAATCCCAACCAGGATCTTCATATAAACTTGCTATACACCAAGTTAAATTACAATATTTCATTCCTAACTCTAGTTATTGTCCGGAAACCATTTTATCTATTTTTGTTAAGAGTGACCCTGACCCCAGGGGGTCCAAATGGAATACCAACCAGGGCCTCCACATCAACTAGCTAATACACCAAGTTTGATTAAAATATCTCATTCCTATCTCCAGTTATTGTCTGAAACCATTTTTCTATTTTAAGTAACGCTTACCTTTACCCCAGGAGGTTCAAATGCAAAACCAACCGGGGTCTCAACATAAGCTTGCTATACACCATGTTTGATCACATTCCTGACTATAGTTATTGTCCTGAAACCATTTTTTCTATTTTTAGTAACAGTGGCCATTACCCCAGGGGGTTCAAATGCAATACCAACTGGTGTCTCCACATAAGCTTGCTATACACCAAGTTTGATTACAATGTCTCATTCCTAACTCTTGTTATTGTCCGGAACTTTCATACAAAAGCCATGGATATTTTTTTAGCCATTCCTGACGAAATTCACGATCAATTTTTACATTTGTACTGGATTGTTTTTCTTTAGGGGGATTAGAGTCATTGTCAACATTATTTTTATCTGATACTATTTTTGGGTCATGGACAATAATATTTTGTGTATTTTTCGTGAAGAAATTGGTCAATCTCCACTGCTTAATTTCGATCAGACAGTTAATTCATTCGCAGAATATGACAACAACAAAATAAATAATTTTGTCTGGGCGCTTTCAATATATGCAGTATCATATAAATGCAAGCGTTTATCAACTAGTTGAAATGGTCTAAATGCCGGACCATGGACTCGGTAAATTTCATTTCTCATTAAAATCATAGTAGGGGTCACGGTAAACATTCTGAACATTTTTATACTGAATTGACGGTTTAAAGTCTGACTCTGTTGAAATCATCGATGGTGAAATTCTTGCTCACAAAATACGCACTTACTAAATTTCATTGCGTCATGGCCGAAAATAGTGTGCCAAAAACGCACTCTGGCAGAACACTGGTTAATGTATATATTGTTTATAAAATGATTTTTTTCATTGTGTTCTTTTATTAATTTTATGATAATAGTGTAATACATTGTTAAAATGTTACATTTATGTGGTATCTTTTTTGTTTATGAAGACTCTTAAATACAGTAGATTTGGATGTAGCAAACATAATAGTAAAAATTTTCGAATGGGGATGGGGGTCCTACCCCCTCACACATCCACCCCCATTTCTGCAAAAACTTGCTCTTGTGGCTGGCAAAATTCCTGGGGAACGGCCTGAAGTGGCATAGCAGGAGTAGTCCAGACAAATTTTTAAAATTAAAATCATTAGAGGAACATTGCTCTGACAATAATCATAAAATAGGAAAATTTTGATGCATGTCAATGTTACTGTTTGGAAACTAATGTTTACCCTCATACTCTTCTTATGAGCATAAGTACCTTCAAACTATAAAAGTGACCTTGACCTGGAGGTAGGAACGTGGGTCTTACCCAAGTTATTCTAAAACTCTTCAATGCATGACAAAGTTAAAGTCCAGACAAGAATGTGTGTACCTATCATCTCTAATTGTGATAGTGTGAACCTTCAAAATGTAAGTGTGACCTTGACCTTTGAAGAAGGGACGTGGTTCTTAGATGCAACACATTGTTGCCATGTGATAGACATTTGTGCCAAGTTATTTCAAAATCCCTCAATGCATGACAAAGTTACAGTCTGGACATGATTGTTGTTTAAGTTGGGACACACGGACAGACAGGCGGACATGAGCCTTAGCCGCAACACATCTTCTTGTGGTAAACATTTGTGCATTTTATTTTAAAATCCTTCCATGCATGACAAAGTTACAGTCTGGACAAGAATGAGTATCGAGAGAATAAGTACCTTCAAACTATAAGTGTTACCTTGACCTTCAAAATAGCCACATGGGTCTTGAACGCAACATGTAGTCTTGATGTGGTAGACATTTATGCCAAGTTATTCTAAAATCCTTCCATGCATGACAAAGTTACTGTCCAGGCACAAATATGTCTAAAAACTATTATGTGTCTATAAACTCTTATTGTGATAAAGTGAAACTTCAAAATGTTAGTGTGACCTTGACCTTTGAGGTAGGGACGCGATTCTTGAACGCGACACATCGTCTTGATGTGGTAGACAATTATGCCAAGTTATTTTAACATCCTTCAATGCATGACAAAGTTACTGCCCAGACATGATTGTGTGTACCTATTTACTCCAATTGTTAGTGTGACCTTGACCTTTGAGGTAAGGACGAAATTCTTGGACACGACACATCGTCTTGATGTGGTAGACATTTGTGCCAAACTATTTTAAAATCCCTCACTGTATGACAAAGTTACAGTCCGAACACGAATGAAGTAGGGACGCACAGACAGAAGGTGTGATTGTAATATGCAGACTTCGGGGGCATAAAAATCATTGAACCAAAAAAAGTCGAGGATATGCAAAACCAGACTTGCAGTGATTTTTTTTCCAATTTTCAAAACAACCTGTGGCTTTCCGAAGGGGAAAATATAGCGAGATAAATCAGAAAAGGGCGGGAAGATGAAATCAGATTCCAACAACTGAGAACGGAAATTACCAACCCATTTTTATAAAATTTTTATTTTAAAATTCACTTTGACATGCATGGTACAATTAGCAGAGGCTGTCTATAGGGACAGCTTTCTGTATTTAAGCTGATATAAGTCAGATGCTGTAGTGTCATTGTTCTTGTAAGGAAGAGCACGAGGTATTTTAGGGGAAAATATTTGCATTTTTAGGGGTAAATAACATAAACCTATTTTGAGCTAGGGGAAACAGCCTTTATTTAGCTGTAAAATGCAGTGAAAAAAATCACTGACTTGGTACTGATCATTCCTATGAAGTTTGGATGAAATTGTACCAGTAGTTTCTAAGGAGTAGTCCGGACAAGTTTTGTGACGGCAACAAAAAACCCTGCAAAATCAAGCAAAATTTAGACATTCAACCTTAAAGGTCAAGGTCATTTATGAATGAAGGTCAAGGTGAGTCTGACCTACTTGAAGATCTTGTTCAAAGGGTTGTTGTGGCCAAGTTTGAAAACAATACACTAAGAACTTAATAAGTTATGATCAAGGTTAAAGTTTGCGGATGGCAACATGACTGTGAAAATTATTACCTCTATTTTTATTTTTTTTATTTTTCCAAAAAAAAAAAAAAAGTTAAGAAAAATGAAAATTAGTCTTCTGAAGACAATTTGAACAACAAGAGGGCCATGATGGCCCTGAAGTCGCTCACCTGTATATAGGCCCACAGAGCGAGGCCAGTTTAAACCCCAGGGCTTTTATTTGAACAAAATTGGTAGACACCCATTAGAAGATGTTTCATGCTAAACATCTAAGGTCTAGCTCGTTGAGTTTTTAAAAAAAAAAGATTTTTTAAGTTTTTACTATACACATATAGTTAAAAGCAATGACATCCCTAGGGCGGGGCCAGTTTTGACCCCAGGGCTTTTATTTGAACAAACTTTGAAGACACTCACTAGAAGGTGTTTCATGCTTAATATCTAAACTCTAGCTATTTGTTTTTATTCAAAGAAGATTTTTAAGTTTTTGCTATACACATATAAGGAAAATTAATGTCCCCCGGGGCAGGGCCAATTTTGACCCTAAGGCTTTTATTTGAACAAACTTTGAAGACACTAACTGGAAGATGTTTCATGCTTAATATCTAAACTCTAGCTGTTTGGGTTTTTTCAAAGAAGACTTTTTTAAAAAGCTTTTGCAATACACATATAAGGAAAATCAATGACCCCTGGGACAGGGCCAATTTTAACCCCAGGGCTCTTATTTGAACAAATTTGGTAGACACCCATTAGAACATCTTTCATGCTAAGTATCTTAGCTCTAGCTCTTTGGGTTCTCTAAAAGAAGTTTTTTTTAAGTTTTTACTATATGCATATAGGGAAAATCAATGACCCCCTGGGGCGGGGCCAATTTTGACCCCAGGGTATTTTTTTTTACAAACTTGATAGACACTCATTAGAAGATGTTTCATGCTAAATATCTTAGCTCTAGCTCTTTGGGTTCTTTAAAAGAAGATTTTATAAGTTTTTACTATATGCATATAGGGAAAATCAATGACCCCCTGGGGCGGGGCCAATTTTGACCCCAGGGCTTTTATTTGAACAAACTTGGTAGACACCCATAAGAAGATGTTTCATGCTTAATATCTTAGCTCTAGCTCTTTGGGCTCTTTTAAAGAAGATTTTTTAAGTTTTTACTATATGCATATAGGGAAAATCAATAACCCCCTGGGGGCGATGCCAATTTTAACCCCAGGGCTTTTATTTGAACAAACTTGATAGACACTCACTAGAAGATATTTCATGCCAAATATCTAAGCTCTACCTCTTTGGGTTTTTTAAAAGAAGATATTTTAAGTTTTTTCTATCGATTGCCATGGCAACCAGAGTTCTGCATGGAATTAAATTCTTTGAACAATTTTTAAAGGTGA